TGACCTCCGTGCGTGAAGATAAATTGGAACCAGCAAAAATACCTCAGATATGTTTTGTCTTAATAGCCTTGAATACAGAGGCTGAATATGAGGGAGAACAAGTATGGATGTATTTCAGCAGCAGAATCTGCTGAAGCTCACCATCCCCTTCTCTGTAAATGCATGTTTCTTAAAGGATGGAAAAAAAAAGAGATAAGTTGGTTATAAAAGCCTTATTTTCTAGAAGGTGCATGGTGAGCTGTGCTGAGGATAGATAGGAAGACCAACCAGCAAAAGTAGTGGAATAGGCAGCAGAAAAGTGAACAAACATAGAATCATAGTATTCATTAAGGTTGGAAAAGACCTCTAAGATCAAGTCCAACCATCAACCCATCCTCACTATGCCCACTAACCCATGTCAAAACGTGTATTTTTGAGAAGACAGAAAGAGAGAGAGGGGCTGAGTGTCTTCTTCAAACCACTGCTGTTTGCCCTTGCCATGTGGGAGGTGAAGGCACTGAGAAATCTCATTTACCTGGCGTGTGTGGCAGTCCCCTCGCCTTCTCACCAGGTTTCATCTTCCCTTTCATCTGCGCCCTTGCCCCTTCCTTTTCTCTTTCTTGTTCGATGGAGCTGTTTGCTGCGGTGCCTTCCTCTCCAGGAGCTGTTTCATCCCTGCTTGCACAGATTTTAAAACTGCTTTCTTCACCCACATTCGGTCTTGGTTTTCATCTGTGCTGGTCCTTTAGATTTACCATCTTTCAAACGAAAAGGCAGACGAAGCCAAACCACAGCTTCATTTCCTTTTCAGTTCTCCAGTCCTTTGCCTCATTTTTTGTCACCTCATCATTTCTTTTGTTATTATTATTATCATAGCACTACTAATAAGCTTCCTTATTAATACTTATTTGCCATTCTGAATACCACTGGAGAAGCTGGAGGGAAGGGATATTCAGAGCATCCTTTTGCTATTAATGCAGAGCCAGACATGTTCAAGAAACAAATTTAGTCCATTTCAAAAGCAAATGAGGGGCTTTTTACTGAAGCCAAAGAAAACAACCAACTAGGTGCACTTTAAGTACCTCTCAACACCTTTGCCATAGAATCACGGAGCATGTACTACAGAATACAAAATATCCTTAGGTATCAGTAATGATTTTTGCACCCATGTGCAAGGCAGTTAATACCCAAGCATGGAGCTGCATTTTCACTAGCCCCCTGCAGTACTCAGACAGCATGGTAAAGGAGGGAATTTGCAGCTTTAACACAGAATTTCTTTGTATTTTTATATATTCAGGCCAGAAGCAGAATGTGATACATTAGCATTGATTCTGTGGTTTCATATCACTTTCTTTTTTTTTCTTTAGTACAGAACAAAAGGAAAAAAGATAGAAAAGAAAATAAATTATCCCTTATATACATTCATAGCATACACAGCAACAGTTCCTTCATCACTGGGTGCACTGTGAGTGTGTATTGATGTTAGCAGCAAGAGATTGCATATTAGAGATCTATAACACTGATAGTGTTAACCATCCTCAAAAATGATGGCTCTTTCTCATGCCTTTCACCCTGTCTTGTATGTTAAGAACACTAAAAAAAAAAAAAAAAAAAAGTTAATTACCTAATTATAAAAGGCAGATTAGTCATGTTAAGTGGAACATTCAAAGGGGACTATTTAAAATATTTTATTTCCTTTGATATTTCCCAATAATCTGAACAAGAAACTGTCACAGCTAACACCAAAAGTGCTTACTTTTTTTTTTTCCCTTTCTTCTTCCTATTTTTTTTTTTTTTTTTGGAGCCATAGAGTGAGCCATAGTAAGGGGATCAAGAGAGAGGAAATGACATATGTCTGGACAGCTGGTAAACATGAAATCTGAAAGGAATAGTGAGGGGAAAATGTATTCCTGTAGTTGCCATAAATACATTACAAATAGAAGACTTCTCATATATACCAATGCAAGCAGCCAGTTGCAGGATGAATAAATGGGTTTGTAAGAGCTGAATTGAAATGAAATCCTTGCATCCTTTATATTATCCATGTTTTTATCACATCAACTTTTAGAATAAATGTGGACAGGCAACGGAGCACCTCTGTGCCATGGAACGGGTGGTAGTCTTCTTTGCACCAGTAGATGAGTATCCAGATATCTGGAGATCATCAGGAGGCTGTCTCTCGAAGACATTACCATTATAAAAGATTTTTGCAATCTTCATGATTGTGAAACAGCTCATTTTTGACAGTTTAATAAAGTGCTATCCTCTCCATGGAGGGTTCATCCATCATCCTGCTGGGGTGGCAAACCATTGGTGGTCATTACCTCCCTCCAGGATAAATGGCAACAGGCAATACTGAAATTTGCCCTCACTTCTGGAATCAAGCCCCTTGAAAGCCAAATGTTCTGTTCAATTTACTCAAGCTGTCACTCGAGCATGAAGCACGGGGTGAATAAATTGCAAAGGTGGAATTGCTCACATCTTGCAAACTTTGCTTGAGGTTGCTAACACCAATAAACAACAGGAATCATTCCAGGGGAGAGTGCTTAAAATACAACTCACAGCTATGCTGAAAAATACATAGAAATACAAGCACAGGATAATTGTTTGTCAGTATCAGATTTGCATCAGATTTACAGGGTCAAAAGCATTACAGCACTAATACATTTCCTTTGAGTAACAGGGGGTCACTATGTAAAGAAAGATTTTGTTTGTTGTTTTTTCCTTTTCTTTTTTTAACCATATGTAGACAATATGTTCCAATGTCTTGGTTGGATTTGGAAGCTTTCTGGCATTTAGCTGTAATCAGTCCTTCTGATTGCAGTGCTGGATGTTGATTTGAGGAATGTATAACGTAGTCCAAAGTTAACCTTAGATCTGAGTTGATTTCAGAGAGGGATTTAAAGGGGAAAATACACATTTCTGGTCTCAGTCAGCACGGCATGAAATAATTTCTCCTGTTACCTACAGTACCTTTGCTCATAAGTTCCTCTATTGAGAGTTCCTATATTGAGAATTTGGGGATGGATAAGGCCCCTGTGTGTTTGAAGCAAAGAAACAGAAATGCACAGTTGTTTAAGCGGATAAAGGGCCAGTTTGACAGCTGATTTCAAACCTGGGGGTAATTTTTCAGTGGCTTTGATTTAAAAGGTCTATTTTTATTAAAATTCCCCTGATGAATCCTCTCCCAATGCATATTCTCATTGATCCCATTGATAACATTAGTCATTTAAAATACTTTTTTTTTTTTTTACTAGAAGACTATCTCATTTTTAATATTAAACAGAGTGATGTATATACGAAGTAGAGGAAGGTGTAAGTTTTGACCCTTAAAAGTAGTGTCAGTTAGGAAAAATATAAAGCTCACTCTTTATGGTTAAAATTAGCAGCTAAAAAGCTGCTATGCAGTAAAAAATTACACAAGCTGTGCCTAATCTCTTCTTTATAAGACTGCTGTATCCTTTTAAGAGTAGATAGCAATTGGATGCTACTAAAAAAAAGAGAAAAAAAATGAAAAAACTCCTCTATGTTCCATTAAAATTTCTGTTAGATTTCTGGAGTTTTCCTCTCTTGCATCTTAGGGATAGGGAAATATGTACAAAGCATAAAAAAATGTTTCCTGGTTCTCTATCTGCAGCATTTTATTAGCATGTTATGCTATATGGAGAGAAATTCAAGATGCTCTGCCTGGTGTTATAAAACTGCCTCACCTTCATTAGTATGAGGGGAATTGTTTGAAAGATCAAGCAGTAGGTTGTTCATGTAACTAGAATGAAAAATCCAAAATGCAAGGAAAGGAAGCCTTTATTTAAGGGCAATCAGAATAAAGCAGCAGTGTGATTCTACATTGTCAAATCACTGTTCATACCCATAAATCCCATGGATCAGTCATTGGTAGGGAGGGTTCCTATGCTTTCAGCCTCTGTGTGGGTTTCAGGCTGTTCTGTTGGTGAGGGCAGTGATGGGCACAAGGCAAGCTTTGCTAGCATATGCCAGAGAACCCAGAAGTATGCTTGGGTAGTTCTGTCCCACTCAGAGCCCCAAACACACACAGGTTGCACTAGTGAGCACTAAACTGCTCCTGCTCTCCTCTCAGTGTGGTTCTACAGTGCATAAAGCAAAGGTTTCTTTGCTCTGGTCATAATCAGAGCAAGCATCGAAGTGGGAAATGCTAGCAAAAGCCCTTACACTTAGGGTTTTCTCATACTTTTGTTTCAAAAAAGACGATGACTAGCACTTTTTCAGCAGCATTTCACTTGTTCATTTCTTTACAAGACTTTGCAATATGATCTGATTTTTAGAAAAATTACTTTTAGGGGTTACGATGCAGTTTTTATGGCTCTTACAGCAACGTACAGGTGAGCTGTGCTTGAAAGCCCCTTTGACACCCAGTCCTGGGGCATGGGCAGAACTTCAGTCCCTCTGGAGTGCACTGGCTGCACTAACATCCAGTTACAGGTAGCACAGGAACACAAATAGAATTCTGGTGTCATGCTTCATATCACCAGTAAAATGATGGAAGTGAATGTGCACTAATTACAACAGGAAGCCATTGGGTTAATTTTTATCAGCCTATTTTACGTGGCTTCTTTGCTCCCAGGCTTTTGGTTCAACACTCGGAATGAAGAGAAAAAAAGGTTAAACTGTTGCATTTTGTATACAGGGAACAATTCAGGTAATATACACCAGTCTGTAAAAACTGTAAATGCTATTTTTTTTTATTTTAAACATTTTCCTTAGTTTACAAAAGATCAATAATCAGTACCTTTTTTACACTCTCAGTTTCCTGAATATTGACAGATCTTCAAAGGGAGTATTAGCATAGGAAATCTTAAGATTGGCTGTCCTGAAGATTTTAAGACATGATAAAGCTAAAATATCAAGTTCTGCCAGCAGCTCCTCCTGTGATTTCAGCAGAAGAGTGCCCGCGAAATCCTCAGCAAAGCCCCACAAACCCCCCACTCTGCTCCCTGTCTGCGCGCTGCTATTTGGTTGCACACTGTGTAAATCCCCAAGGCAAATCACACCTCGCACTCCCTCGCTGGCTGCTGGTGACAGGAGCAAGATCCGTACTCATTAATGATCACCAGGGCTCCCTCGATGTGGTTGGGTTTGTAATCAACATAATACTCCTGGGCTGACATGGCAGCCATTTGATGCATGGTCTGTTTCTGCTTCTGCTTCCTGCGCTGTGTTACAAAGCACTGTCTTAGCTGCCTTATGCTGGCTGGAAAGCATTTCCAAGAGACGTACAACACTAAAACCACGATGAGGAAGCTAAAAATCAGTGCCATGGTCCCCGTCACCACCTTGTGAATCTGCACGGCGTTTTCCGCGCCTTCGCCGGGCAGTGTCACGGTGATGGCGTACGTCGTCGGCTCCTCGTCGGCCTCTGGCACGTAGGCCGTGGCGGCCGCCGAGCCGTAGCCAAACATTTGGTCGCTGTTGTTGGTCACAGGGGACAGGGTGTTGACACTGGTGGGGTCGACCGTGTCCTCACACAGGTGGAATGCATAGACTGCATCCAAAACGTCCTCGCCCTGCGCGTACTCGGGTGTAGCACAGAGCAGGTTGCTGTCGTAGCGGCCCTTGAAGTTGCTCAGCCATGAGGCCAGGGCACAGACGTTGCGGCCGCAGTCCCAGGTGTTGGCAGACAGGCTGATGCTCGTGAGAGACTTCCAGGAGTCCAGTATGCGCGAGTCGATGTAGGTCAGCCGGTTGGAGTCCAGCTGCAGGGACTTGAGGTGAGGCACGCTTTCGAAGACATGAGGTTCGATGTATTCGATTTCGTTGCCAGAGAGATCCAGTTTTTCCAGTTGCCATATCCAGTCCAAAGTGTTGACGACGATGGTGACTTTATTCCGTCGCAAGCAGAGTGAGTGCAGGGAGATGAGCCTGGGGAAGTGGGCTAAATTCACCTTCACCAAGTCATTGTGCTCGAGGTGCAGCTCGGTGAGCTTAAACAAGCCCGCAAAAGAGTTTCGAGCCAGGCTCTTTAACTGATTGTATCCTATGTCTAGAAACTTCAGGCTGCGACAGTCCTGAAAAATTCTCACCGGCACAAACTTGATGGCGTTTGACCGCATGTGCAAAGTCGTGAGTTTTCTCAGCCCGTGAAATAGGTCGGGCTCCAGCGACTGCAGGTTGTTGTACGATAAATCCACACTGCGCAAGTTTGGCATGGGTCGGAACGTGTTGTTGGGCAGTTGGGTGATTTTGTTGGAACTCAGGGTGAGCTCCTTAACTCGCCGCAATTTTTGAAAGGCATTCCCCTCCACTGAGCAAATGTGATTGTGATCCAGATAGAGCCACGTGAGCTGCATTAACCCTGTGAACTGTCCGTCATGCAGCTCTGAAAGGCTGTTGTACCGCAGAGACAAGCCCATCATGCCCGACAGGTTGCGAGGCATCTCTGTGAGATTCAGTGATTCACAGTACAAAAGCCTGCCCTCACACCGACATAGCTGTGGACACCCACTATTCACGGCTGGAAGCATTTTAGAAAAGATACCCAGCGTACACAATATCAACCCCGGGGGCTTCCTCAGCAGCCAGTTTAAACAGAGACCGATAAGAAGGAAATCCATTAGCAAGAATATTTCCAAATATGCTCGAGAATGTCCATTGAATCTTTTCAAATTCTACATCATATTTTATTTAAGAGGAAAAATAGCAACAAGAAAGAAAATAAACAACAGCAACAACAAAAAAAATGCCCAGACCAAAGCAAAACAGCAAACGGAACAAACACAGCCAAATATTTCACTTTACAGCATGCAGGAGCTGCGCAGCATTAAAGTTCACAGACATTCAAAGGTAAAATGATAGTGATTTTGTTCATGTTAAAGGCTGCAGCAAAGAAAAAAAAAATCTTTCTTCATGAAAGAATTTAATTAAAAAGTGTCTTACCCACCCTTTTCCAGAGAGTGACAACCTCCATTCAGTTGCTTCCTTTGTGTTTGGACTAATTATATGCAGAGCTAAAAAAGACCCCTCTGTGCTACAAATTCGGTCCCTTTCAGAGCTGTGCAAGGCTGGCAAGCTCACAATGTCTCACTTCGCTTCTGCTCAAAGAGCTCAAGGCTTGTCCAGCTAGCTTTTAGCTGACTCCTAGGACCTGCAAGTTTCAGAACTATGTGCATGAGCTTGATCTTCTCCTTCTCCCTCTGTCCTTTTCTCTGCAGTTAACACTGTGGCGTGAAAAAAACTCCAAACTCTTTACTAACGACTCCACAGGATTTGGCAATCTGTTTAATGTCCATCATTTGCAACGACCATTGACCGGCACAACCTTTACTCCATAGAGAGATTACCATGCATTCACTGACCGGCTAAGGGTAGCTTTATTTCCCATTCTTTGTTCGCTTTGCTTGTTAGGTGATGCTTAGAGCAGAGAGACAGCAAGAATCCTTTCCCTTCAGCCGAGCAGTATGTTGGTAGAGCATGCAGAGGCACCTAGTGTTCACTGAGTGTCGTAAGCTGCTCATGATTGTACGCCTGCACTGTGCATCTCAGACATGGGCAGATGGAAAAGGGGTGGGCATAAAACCAAATGCTGGAGCGAACCGGGAAAGTAATATATGCTCTTTGATGAAATGGAAAATACTTTAAGCCTATCTCTCCATTTCTCAAACACGCACGCACACACAGCCACACAAATCATCAACAGCGAGGCAGTGCTAAGTAGGAAGCTTGAGAATTAGGATTCTTTATTATTATTATTTGCTTTTGTTTAAAATCTGAATGTATAAGCCATTAGCCGGGGACAGGGAGATACTTGATTTCTTGGTTTTGGAAGGAATATGTAAAGCAGTGTCATCGGATTGCTTTTTCTCTGTAAATCTGAGGATATTTGCTTTTCGGAGACTTTGGGGTTGAAGGGAGGGGGGGGGGGGGGGTTGGGAGGGTGGAATGTGTTTTTATTCTGACATTGTCTAAATAGAGGATGATTTGAAATTCTGTGCATTCTTTCTCATAGAAATGCAGCCAGAGCTCTGCAAATAGGAACGTCTGCTTTCCTATAAGCTGTAATTACATTTGGTCTTTTTCCATCCTGCATATTCTCTGTGTGTTCAGCACATGCCTTTCCTAAAGGCTTGCTTTTTTTTTTTTTTTTTTTTTCTGCAGTGTATGCTATGGCACACAAAACTATCTATTATTCTTGCAGCATAAAGAATACCGTGTGTTCGGAATCAGATCAGCATATAGGTTACTCTGACCATGTCAGCAGCATGCAAAGAAGGGGTAGAAAACCCAATCACTTCCTAAGTTCTGCAGATTGTGCTGCTTTTTGTTCCGTGCACCAAAATAATTTTTGCCTGGTAATTTGCAGCCCTCATTATCAATGGGAAATGCGTCGGCAATGAGCTCTACTCCAATTTTTACCGACTGAAAAACGTACAATACTTACTTCTGTCAGGAAAACGCTGGCCATCTTCTTTTCCTGTTATGAAATAGAATCTAAAGGCTGTGTGTTGATGAATGCGATCAGAGCTGACAGCTCACGATCCTGCATGAATCCTCTGTGAAGAAGTTTCGCTCGGAAATACAAGTAATGCAGAAGACAGTGCCGATTTTCTCCTGAAGTCAAGATTGGTTGCAAAGTACTGGAGGCAGGGCAAAAGTGTTACATTTCCTTTCTTTTTCATAGCCATGTTAATATTTAAGTCTTCTTTTTTTGAAGTATTTGTTGCAGAGGTACGGAATGCTGGAGCTTTGCATGTGTGTGAGCGTGGCTGGCTGCTGTCTGTGTGTGTGTTGGTATAGATCAAGGAATGCAGTAATTTGATGCAGTAGAAGTTGTTTTACAGAAGTCTTGGTAAACTTAGTCTCTCGTTCATAAAAAATCACTGAGAGATTCGTTACAAATGTATTTGCTCAAACCACTCTTAAATAAATGACAAATGTTAACCAGTCAGTCTGCAGTCTCAGAACCCTGGAATCGATGCACTTTAATGCTCCCAATCTGGTTTATTCATTCACATCCTTCTGGTTTTCACATTTCAGGGGTCTCAAAGAAAAATGTGATGCTTTAATGTTGTATGAACCTCTTGTATGTTGTAGTAGGGCAAGAGAGCCAAATGTGTTCTCCCTCTCCCAAGATCGTGCTGTCTTGTTCAAAGCAGGCTGTTTATGCAAGTGTCCACTGGTTTGCAGTACACCTTAATTCTGTTTCTCACACAGAAGCAGGAGGGAAAGCAATGACAGAACGGGAAGAAAGAACATAGAAGCAGGAGAAGTGATTAAAAACACCTCTGTGCAAGAATAATGCATTCTAGCTTACATTTCCAAATATTTTGATGCAAATAGTAAGAGAAAAAAGAAAAGACTTTTTTTTAAGTTTATAAATACCGAACAAAGGTTCACAGCATAGAGGTTGTATCCCTTAAAAACTGCAACCCTATAAGTCTTGTTGAGGTGGATCTTACTTCCCTCTCCCATTTAACAGTTTGGGCATAGAACTCCCAAACTAGCCCTAAAAATTTCCATTCTGTATTCAAGGAAAGCTGACATTTTCTGCAAACCAGATGACGATAATGATCTCTTAGTTACCATCTAAATACTACGTATAAAATGAAGCATTTCACTTTAAGAGATGAAACTCCATGATACATCACTGTGAAGAGCTGAATTCTTTTTTCTGTGATGGTTCTTGCAATCGCCTGGGATACATTTTGTGTCCTAACCAATCTGCCTATCGCCATGCTGGCATATAATCTATTATCATTTGGTTACCAGTGGTAGAAATTAGAACAGACAGTAGAAAACCTATCTAGAATTAGCTGGAAGGCTGACAACTAGAATTAGGAACCCAGAATTAATGGCCCTAAGCAGAACCTCACAGCTCTGTCAGAGCTATATTGCATGAAAGACTTTGCTGTTATTTGTCCAAAAATGTGTCTGTAGAAAACAATCCAGATAGTTTTTGAACTAGAGACCTCAGCGTATGTTGGGAGCTGTGATGCTGAGGCAGAGTGATGACGAAGGGCATGGGAATCTGAACAGACAAACATGGGTGAGTGTTCAGCTTAGCCCTGAAATACCTTTGTAAATTTGGTTTTCTTATATATTTTTTAAACTTTTTGAAATGTACTTCTTGTTATGGAACTGGGAATCCATTTTGAACTTGATTGTAACACAAAGGGCTTAATTTCCACTGTTTGAGCTGTTATCACAGCCAAACTGTCAAGTTTACACATTTTCTGAAGTTTCAAAGCCTCTGGCAAATCTCTATAAATTAGTGGATTTAAATTAACTTTATTAAATGTGCTATTATAAACCAATCTTAAGAAGCACAAACTAAGTTTCTAAGTACTTAAGAGAGATTGATTAAATCAATGTAAAGTAGGTTACAAAAGAGCAACTCGAGTTAAAGTTTTAGAAATTTTTACTGGGAAGCCATTTATTGGAGTCATCCCAAGTTTAAGAGGGCTGGAACAGGGTGAGTAAAATCAGAATATTGACCCTAATGTCTAATTATATATGTTCGCATTGTAGTGTATTAACCACCACTGCCACCCATAAATCGTCTTCTTTATTGTACATGTGTAGTAATGAGTATTCCTCTTCCTTCTGGTATTTTCTGAGTGGTTTCTATCAGTATAATAAAAAGTGGAGCTTTTAGCGGTGATTTTAATTTCCTTTCATGAATGGACAGACTCAAAGCTTGATCTTACAAAGTAGTCTTTAATTTTCAGGTGCACTGAACCATAGTATTTCATATAAAGGAAACATTTAAAAACAGAAAAGAGAAGGAAGAGATGTGACTCCAAGTAAAGAAAATTAAAGCTGTTATTTCTCTTATGTTCATATCCTGGCCATCCCTGGCATTTGGTCAGCTCTCCCTTCTATGTAGAATTGTTTCAGGTAATAAGAAGTCCATCACCTATATAACTTGTATTTTTTAGGAATTGTAAAAATGAAGTGTATTAGACAAATTCTTGACCAAAATAGTCTCAGACACTCACGATACCAAAGAAAGAGTTATAACTGCCATTCATTTCTTGCAGTGCAGAGCAGACACGTTGGATTTGATACCACATTTAAACAGTAGATATTCTTATGCAAATCATCTTGTTGTTTTTGACAATGCAATAAACACTTTTTATCTCTCAGTACAGCACTCTGTTATCATCATCAGCCATATTCAATAGCAGATATTCATGTATAGCTTTATAAAGTCACTCATGGAAGAGACCTATCTGTAGAATTGCCAGTGAAGTGCAGAAATGCCTATTCTCAGGAAAATACATCAGTGGTAAGATGAAGAGCCTCTCTCACCTTTTCATTATTTGTAGAATACTTGGGTAAGCCATAGAGTTACAGATTCTCTTAGGTATCAGCGAAAATTGCCTATGAATTTCTGAATGTGATGTCAAAGCATTGGGCAGTGTTATTGGTTGTGAATGTCTAGGTATAATGGAAAAAATGAGTTGTTACAAAAAAAAAGTACTACCCTTTTTCATTAGTCATCATATTCTTGAAGATCATTTTAGCATCCTTATCAAGCAAAGATTCGTGCTACAGTCAAGTTACCACCTAGTTGAAACTCATTTCACATGTGAAGTGAATTATTTTACCTTTGTTT